TAGGACCTGTTGCATATCAGCTTGAGTTGCCTTCTGAGCTAAGTCGTATTCATGATGTCTTTCATGTATCAATGTTGAGGAGATACCGTCCAGATCCAGGTCACATTATTCAGGTTGAAGAAGTAGAGCTGAGACCTGATTTGTCATATGAAGAGGAGCCCATTCAGATCTTGGAGAGAGATGAACGAGTTCTTCGGAATAGACGAATTCCAATGGTCAAAGTTCAGTGAAGGAATCGAGGCCCCTCAGAAGCTACTTGGGAGACATTGGAGTCAATGGAGGCTCAGTTTCCTCAACTATTCTCATAAGGTAAATTTCGAGGACGAAATTTCTTGTAGAGGGGGAGAATTGTAACAACCCGATTTTCAAAATAATATTTAATTAAAATTTGAAGGTTTAATTGTGAAAATTTGGCGAAAATTTGGGACTGAATTGAAAGATTTTAAAACTTGGAGCTTGTTTTAAAGTTAAAGAAAATTCAGGGACCAACCCCTGAATTTAACCATGGAGTGTCGGCAGACAATTGTTATATGCGTGATTTCTGTTTTGAAAAACAGAAATCAATTTCACAAATCCTTCCTCACGCACACAACTTCCAAACTCGATTCTGACGTCGTCCGCATTCCGATCGTTGTTTTGAAACCACCGTTGTGTTCATCATCGAGCGAGGAACAAACCCTTCAAATTAATTGAAGCGAAACGCGGCCAAACGTCGGGAATTTCCAGTCAAAGTAGCGACGGTTTTGTTAGCTTTATCGCCGAGCAAATCTTAAATTCACCGCTGATCGTTGCTCCGTTTACGACACCTCCCGCACCATCGTGTTCCTTGTGCCGTTCCGAGTTCACCGGTGTCAACCTTGTTCGCCGTTGACGACGGCGCGTGAGGAGGTGGAGCAGTCTAAGATTCGACCGAGTGGGAATACGAGCTCTCCGCCGTTCAAAAATTTGAACCGATCGTTGTAAGTATCTCGAAATCGCTCAAAATAATTTTTAGAAATTTTTCCGGGAATTTTCCGACACCGTGGCACTGTTCACGCGCCGCACGCGCCGCCGCAGGGAGAGTGAGCTGCTGGAAAACCGGTTTGACCAGTTTTAAACCGGTTTGACCAGTCTGAACCGGTTTGACCGGTCTGAACCGGGTTGACCCGACCCGACTGACCCGACCCGACCCGACTGTTGACCCGACCCGACCGTTGACCGTTGACCGTTGACTTCCTTTGACCAAAACTTAAAATGGCTTTGACTGAGCATTAAACGACCGTTAATCTTTTCCGAGTATACCTAACCTGATAGTTTTCGACGTGCCGAATCCGTTTCCGCTGTCCGTTTCATCAAATTCGAATCCGAAGGCCTCCAAATCGATGGTCAAAGTGGTTGACTTTGACTTTGACCAAGAATTTGGATTTTCGAAAAGTCATACTTTATATTTTTCGACGTCCTGATTCCGATTCCGCAATCCGTTTGGCCAAATTCAGACTCGAAATACCCCAAATGATAGTCAAACTCGGAAAATGCTTAGATACTTAAGAATTTTAGCTTTGAACAATTAAGTAAGATTTGGGGCTGATAAATTATTGTTATTTGAAGGTGCACGAGACTCACCGGATCGTTCAACAGCTCGACCCAGTTCTTCTAGATCAGTTAAACCACGTATGCCAGTATTCACCCGTAAGACCCGTAAATTTTATGATTTTAGAGATTTATTTATGTTACCCATAAGTAATATAGTGTTACTATAAATTAGGTTCGAAAACTGTAGCAGAGCGTGGTGAAACCAGCAATCAGTAGATCTACGATTTGAACCTATTATCGAGGTGTGTTCCCTATTTATTACTGAACTGTTTTATTTGTTTTAATATGTGGTACACTGAATTCTTTGGTTTCCGTATTGTTGATGCACCGATTTAATGTGATGATTTATGGATTATGACTGTTATCTGATATTTGTTTTGAAATGGTATATGATTACCATGTTTATGGATTTATGGAATTTATAACACGGTGCAATTAAATTTTTGGAATACGAATTTATAAAGTACAGCTCTGATCAAGCTGGAAAATTTTACGGACCTAATGTGACTCTTAGGTAGGCTCTGCGGCCCTGAGATCATTCTCGGGTAGGCCCTGCGGCCCTAAGATGTGTTCTTAGGTAGGCCTCACGGCCCCGAAATCTATCTTGGGTAGGCTCTCAGGCCCTAAGATGTTCCCTTAGGGTAACGCTTTGTAAAGAGATTTACTGCAGTATAATTTTATGAGACTTTTTGGACTATGATATGTTTAGTGTACCTATAGTGATTTTATGGTAATATTGGGACACACTGAGCCTAGCTCACCTTTAGAAAATGTTTTTCCCCTTTCAGATATTGTTGGTTAGATACCCTGGATTGAGCACTTGGAGGATCAACATATCTCTTGAAGTATATCTGATTGTAATGTTTTTACCTTGCAAGTTGACTTTATTTTGTTGACATAGACCTTATTTTAAAGTATGGGATTTTAATATGATGACATTTTTACTATTACTATTCGGTTTATCGTGATTTGATTTTTAAGATATGTTTTAAATTAATTTATTACTTATTGGTATTATATTTACAAGTTAGGTTTTGATAGTATGATTTATTATAATTTCATGTCATTTATAATGTGATTTTACATTGTTTGAATAACAGTTTCGGAAAAATGTCTTAAAGAATCATAATGTGATCCACTAGACTTAGTCGAAACGCATAGGCCGGGTCTAGGGGGTTACAATGTTCATCTTTAATCATAGGTTTTAGAAAATATACTTTTATGAACTAAAAATATACAATAAAATTTCTCATTGCATTATAGTAAAAATGTAAAGGATTAATTATCAAATAAGTGTTTAAATTATATTACTTTTTTAAATAAGTGTTTAAATTATAGTTACAAACGTTACTTTTTAGGTGTTCCGACCCTAACGGTTGTTAACAAATTTTATTAAATGACGCATGTTATATTATGATAATTTTGAATATTTTATGTTTAAAAAATTATTTGATAAATGATACATGTTATGTTTTGACACATTTAAACACTTATTTTATAATTAAACCAAATGAAATCATCAGATATGGAAACTATATAATGTTATGAATCTTCTAATGGATCGTATAAATATGCATAAATAAAATATATTTCCCTCAAGTCAAAAGATTAGGCATATATTCATTGAATAAATCTATGGGACACGTGTTAGCATCTTAATTAGGGATGCGGCCGGTGGGTGGTCATCTAATTTGTTTCTTTGTTCTATAAGTTAGTTTGGGCTAGGCCTGTAAACGAACCGAACGCACACGAACGGAGGTATGTTCATGTTCGTTCATTTAATAAATAGACGAACATAAACGAACACGAACATAAACGAACAAATTTTTTTTTGTTCATGTTCGTTTATTAAGGAATATAATTTGTTCATGTTCGTTCATTTAATAAATAAACGAACATAAACGAACACGAACATAAACGAACACGAACATAAATGAACACGAACATAAACGAACATAAACGTTGGAGACCCTACCTTCCATTGTTCTTTCATGAAAAATAGTCGACAATGCAAATCAATCAAATCTACAGTGATAAATAGCGTAAGAGTTGATTAGCAGTGATGAAATGTTTGAAGATATCAAATATTTCGATCGATCTTTTAAAGATATTAAATGATTCACACAACTTTAATTTAACGCTATAACATTTATCTTAGTGGTCCATGATTACATATGAACAATCATTTTCTCCTATTACACTCTTTTTCAGAAATTGCATAGAAACCTTTGTTTTGTTTTCTGGCAAATTCTATATATTTTTCTCTTTACTGATGCTCGTATACTTCCGATTGTTACCTTTATATTCCCATCTATTTCTAGAAAGAAGTATGATGTTTTCTTGAGTTTTAGATGTGAAGATACCTGCAATAACTTTACATATCAACTATTAAGCCAAATAAAACAGAGAAAGAGATGAAAACAAACATGTAAAACTTCATATTGCACTATAATATAACTTGTTTTGAAGCTTTCAGCGATCGTCTCCACTCTCTAGTGAACACTAGGGTTTGGGAAAAAAAGGGGGAAATGAATATAGGTGCGAGGTGCCTCACAGGTTAACATATTGGATTTAATCTCCAAATAAAATTAGATTAATTATGGAGTTGGTCATCAGAATATCATATTAATTAATATTTTTAAGATACTTACAAATTGGTCACCAAAATTGATTTAAGAAGATTGGGTTAAATATAAATGAATGAACATAAACGAACATAATCGAACGAACATAAACGAACATAACCGAACGTTCACGAACGTAAATGAACGAACGAGACCTATGTTCATGTTCGTTCATTTAATTAAACGAACAAAAAATCTTGTTCATGTTCGTTCATTTAATAAATAAACGCATATAAACGAACTTCCTGCCGCACGGTTCATGAACGATTCGCTGAACGTTCAGTTCATTTACAGGCCTAGTTTGGGCGGTATTATGGGAACAACTTTTTTAAAAAAAATTGGGTAATAGTTTGACATCAATTTAAACACCCAGATAAAATATATATATATATATATATAGTTCGAAAGTGTATAACAGGAAACATTATTTCTGAAATAAAACTGAATAGGATTTAGCGTTTAGACTGCACAAGGACCAACCAGTAATGAAATAAGATCCTGTAATGAAAATGAAGATAAACTGGGTCATCATCATCATCTCATGGTTGACATTGATGAGCTCTGCTAATTACAGAAGAGCCATTAAAAAACACAATAGTACTAGAAACTGAGTAGATTACCAATCAATCTACTGTTGCACTGAGACGAGCATGACAAATTCCTGAATTCTATTGATAAAAAGAATTCAACATTATCCCCAGTATTTCATGTGCTATTGATAAATAAAAAATAAAATTCAACACCACCATTTACATCTATGATTAGCCTTGGGCTCTTTGGTAGCATCATTTTAACTGTACCCGCTACATCAGGAAAGAAGGCTCTCCATGCATAATCAATGGTCATACTATACAAAATTTCAGTTACCAATCGAACGACGCCATGGCCTTTCACTTCATTTGTCGTTCGTCAAAGTCATTATATATGCCCGTCACCCTGCCAAATTTCATTAAATAAGACCGCAGTACAATAATGATTACATAAACAAACAATTAAAGATCTGGAGTGTTACAAGCAGCTAATTTCTTTTCCTACAAAGCCCAATTTAATGTTATTTTCAGCAAACACGGAACATGATGCGTTTGACCTATATATGATGTAGATAGAGTGGTTTAAGGCTTTACTCTCATTTTCATTGATGCCAGTCGCTAATAGTTTCTCAAGTTCACAAATATGTTGGAGATTATTCAGATCCAACCTTGAGCATGCTAGTGGTATGGCATCACCTCCAAGAGGCTAAGTTGCCAAGTACTGGACGTTCACTAGTACAACCTGTGGTTTCCTATTTAACCTCTGCATCATTTTACTTGCTTCATCAGGTCTCGGTAATGGTCTCACCGTTCATAGTGCATTTCCAACCTACTTTAACCCTTTTCTGTTTACATCAAGCTAAGTTGACTTATCTGCCAGTCCCAGACCCTCCAACAATGAACTATCTATAGTTTTCTATTCAAGCTCTAACTGTTAACCCTTTGTTGTTCCAAATCAAATTTGGTTATTTATCACAAACACACAAGCCTTACTAAAACTATAAAGGAAAAGTAGCAATGAAGTGTGGATATGGTGTAATGTCACATACCTATCATAAGACAAGAACGCATCGCCTATATTTCCTACAACCTTGTTTCGTACCTTCCGCACACAGACCTGCAAAAACATATTTCAGCGATAGAAACTAAAGATTGCTTACAGAGACAACCTTGTGACAATACTCACTTGTACTAGATCAACAGGTCCAGCCTCGGGGTCCCGATTCCGATGAATAACAATTCCATTGTCACATTTGTTTATAAAGTGTGCACTTCCACTGATGTCGTAGAGATTAGGAGGAGCCCCAGTCCATTGGTGCAACTGATGGACAAATATAAAATTTGTTCATAGAGAAACCAAGCAATAAAAGATAACTCAAAAAGACCAACCTGTCTTGGATGTGCAACAAACCAGACATGACTAGAGTGATGTTGAGCAAATCGTTTGATCTTCGTAAGCAACTGGCTTACATACTCCGTTTCAGTCCTGTTATGGATATAAGATGATAATAACCGGAACGTTTAGTCAGCCAGTAAATGAGGAGCGCTCAGAATAGGAAATAGTAAAGAGCATTTTGAAACTATGAAGCTTTTCTTGTCCACTTACGAGTCCCACTAGAATAGAACCAGGACACCTTGTGAATACTTCTATCGAAGTATATAATTTTAGGCAAAACACGCACAGAGGTAGTTAAAATTTTTATGATGATGAGAATAATGAGGATGTCCGTGACACTACCAACTATCAAGCAGGTTAGCCATTGGCATAAAAACAAAAAATCTAAACTATATACTTGTATTTCATGGATGATCCAAAGGACCCAAATTAAGGCACCAAGAAAAGTGACAAAACTATACTATCAAATAAAAATGGAGGTGGTGCCAATATGATAGCAAAACAAACAAGGCAAAGGTGAGCATTGTGGAAAAAGTACTCACTAGTTTGGAGCTGATGATCAAGTTCATTGTAAGGATCAATTACAAGCCCCTGAATACCATGCCTTAGTACCGCTGCCCTTGCAAGATCAAGAACCCACTCTATATTCGGAAGAGAATCATTCTCGCACCTATTCCAGAACTCATGAGATAAATCTAGAAAGCACTGTTAAGAAAGCAAGCACAACAACAAGAGCATACAAGGCCTCAATTTTTAAACCATCCAAGCCTATACTGAGCTGTAAATTCACCCCCCCCCCAACCCAAACACACACGAAAATGCCTTAAAAATATATATATATTTCAGGAACTAGGCAACAATTTGGAAAAATAATTAATAAAAGTCTCAATCTGCATGAGCACATATAATATCAATAAATAGTTGTCAAGGTTTTATTAAGAACAGAAACCATGTAATTTTGAAGTGTCCAACTTACCTTATGAGATAAAATGTGTCATTCAACCATTTCTTCCCTTCCTCTAGTTCCTGAACACTCATTCTATCTGCATTGCTCCCATAGCTATTGCCAGCAAAAGTAACAAACAAACCAATTGGTGATTATTATATTAAAACAAGACTGTTCAAAGAAACCACAGTTGCAAACATATAAATGTAGGTTTTATTTCCAGGAATTCATTAGTTTCCCAAACCGTCTCTTGGAGAATGATATGCTACTTGAAGTATCAAGTTAAAGAGAATTTACGGTATTTGGGGTGGACTTGGATGATTAAATAATCGAGGTTTCTGAATATCTCAATTGTAGGTTACTCGTGCAACATAAGTTATATTTGGTGTTTCATGTTTCATTTAAGAGTTTGCGTTTAGTTATAAACATCTATGTTATTCCAGTTTTGAGCACGCTTGATTTTATGAAATATTATCAACTTCAAATATTTGAGATTTGAATTATTCAATTTTTTTATAATAATTGAATGTCTCGTTAAAAAATCCTTCATAATTTTTAGAAACCGATAAAATTTCACGGCAAAAAACAAAAGGGTGAAAAGAGTGCCTCAAGTTTTATTAATGAAGAGGACATAAAGAACCCCCAGGTTTACAGTCTAGAAAACAGAACACAATACAAACGCTTAACCAGAACAGAAACATTACAGCCATAAACTTTCCTAATATTAACCAATCCCCTTTTTAGCTAACTAGTCTGCCTCCCAATTTGCACTTCTTTTTACAGCCCGAATAAGAATCTTCTCTCTTTTAACCACAGAAATAATTTCCTTAACAATGGATTCGTAAGACGAAGGACACACCGAAGGATCCTTAATCCATTCTACAACATTCCTGCGATCACTTTCCAGAATCAGCCTTCCCTTATCACTCCAGTCGGTCGAAGAAAGGAGATGTAGACCTGCTCTAACAACCTTTAGTTCTGCCAAGATCGGGGAGCCAGGACCAATGGATTCCGAGAAGGAGCCTAAGGTTTGGCATCGAGAGAAATCACAAACTCAGGGGTCAAGACAAAGAAGCCGAAGAGGACAGTAGTCTCTTCCAAGAGATAGAACTGGAATCAGCTAGTGATGGGTCTCCAATCAAGGGATCGAGAGGGATCATAAACTCAAGGTACTTGGCTGAGAACCAGGAGGCAAGTCGAAATCTTGTTATAAAAAGAGGAGGGAAGTATCTGAAGCTCCATTCTCAAATACTATAGAATTCCTAAATTTCCAGATTGACCACACGATTACTCTGGAGATGAAAGGCCAGATGCGTGATTGAGGAGCAAGAACATTCCAAGCTGACAAGAGGGAAGGGAAGTCCTTAGAAAGTGTAGTGGATATTTTCCAAAACTGGAGAAAATGATTCTAAGTACCCAGGCTATACAACATTCAAGGAATGGATGAGAAACAATTCAGGAAGAAACCTACATAAAGGATATAACAGATCAACCACTCTCGAAACTCCACGTTTAAGAAGTTCAGTTCTAACCGCCACCCTTTGATGAATAACTTGCCAAATGAAAGTCGCCATCCTTGGTGGAGCTAAGCCTGCCCAAAATAGTTGTTCCAAAAATGGTCTTCACCCTCCAAACTCAAGTTTAAATTCCTTCACCATTCCCATTCCACAACAAACCATCACTAGCTTCTTGTTGAAGGCTGCTTTTATTTAGTACGGACACTAGGTTAAGTCATTGATCCAGCTTCCAATCACTAAGATTTCCTCTTACTTGGATATTCCATTTCCAACCGGAGGGACCAAAACTTCCAAATTCTGCAATTTTCCCATCTTTGTTGGTTGAGAGAGTAAAAATTCTAGGAAACTGATTCTTTAAAGAGGTACCTCCAATCTATAAATCATGCCAAAAGGAGACAACTTTACCATTCCCCACTCGAGCTTGAATATGATTTCGGAAACAGATCTCAAACTTGTCTCCTTCACACAGTTGTTGGCGACCCGTCTCCATCCAAGAAGCCTGATAAAACTGAAGATTATTAAGGGTCATGGACTAGGTGTCAATATTAAAGCTACTACAGATAATCTTTTTCCACAAAGACTCCCACTCCGTGCCAACTTCCAAGCCCATTTCCCGAGCAGCGATTGGTTCAAGAGGTTGTAAACGAATGTTGTTGTATCCTGGATACCGACGTCCAACGTTACTCAAAGCATCGAGAAGATGACGAATCTGTCTTTAAGAAAATTGTTCATACGAGCCTCAACAAAAATTTTTCTTTTATTCAATTTCATTGATCATAGGTTTTATTTTATTTTAATTTATTTTATTTGTGTTTCGTTACGTTACTACTACAACATTATATTAACTTTACTACAAAGCCAACATTGATGCTGCTGGCTTGAGGAATCCTGGACAAGAAAGAACTTGTCTTGAATCCCAACGACGGCGTTCGAGCATCGGCAAATGGCGATCTTTAAAAGCAAGAGTAGCAAGCTAGATTTCTATATTGGATGAAATAAAACAATTTAGATTGTTAAGTAACCATTACTCCTGGACCTGGTCTTCACGGACCTACAAGACAATTCTAAAATTGTCGAATGCATGAGCTACTAGGAAAAGAGAGGAGCAGACACTAATTTTGGGTTTTCAAATGTTACCAATTACCCATTTGGGAAAAAAATATTTGGGCCTGCCCACTAATTTTTAAACCAATCCGGATTGCACACCACGAATTTGTTCGTTACTTTTAGTGCACGCGGGGATGAATCAAATGGATAGGCGAGGGACATCGTCTTCTCCTGAAAATTTAAAAGTTTTATATATTTTAGAAAGATCATGTATTTTCTATTGAAAATTTGTTTTCATCCATCTAATATTTTATAAATTCAAACTCATTCCCTAAAATTATATAAATTCAAATTCGTCCTTAAATTAAAGTCAGTCCCCTAACATAAAATATTGTGTTTGTCCCTGAACGATGGGCTACTCTCTAAATGCAAATCTCCAATCATACAATACTGCGTTTAAAACCATTCAGCGCGTAAAATTTGATCGTCCCTGATGCTAAATAATATTGTAATAATTGGATATTTTGATGGATTATTTATAATAATCGAACACAAATTCTCTATTCCTATGAACTATTAATAATAATAATAATCGAATAGACTTTTTAAATATTAAACCTTATATCACCTAAGTGAGATACCGCCAAAGTGAGGTGGCCAAGTAGCAGTGTCTATTTGCATTTGGAAACTATTACCGAATAGTGAGACTGCTAACCATATCCAAATGTTAATAGTACTCCTCTGGCCCAACAACCATAATTTTCGTTCGTCATCGCTTTGTTCTTTATTTTTCGCTTTCACTAATTAATAAATTATATAATGTCAGAATTTATATTTAATATTATTTAAAATCTTAATTTTAATCAAAATTATTTTTGAATAGAAATTGTTTATCTACTAACTATTAACAATTAATTGGATCTTACAATTTTATTCAAAATATTTAGTATCTCATTTTATTGTATCAATTAATTATTAGTATAATAAATAATAAATAAAATCCTGACAAAAAATGCAAAACTATTTGTTAGTTAAAAAACTTACTCTATATTGATAATTAATAAATAAAATAGCATGTTGCTATGATCTCATAAAAGAAGAGATGTGGATGAAGGATGATGGTTTGATTTTCTTTATTTCAACTTGGAAAGGTAAGGGATTAAGGCAAAGGAACAAAATAATAATAATCCAATATTTTAAAGACTTTCGTCAATGGAAGCAAAGTCATTTATGTCACATGGGAAATGACACACAATCCAATGGCTTAATTATCCATTACATTTATTTAATCCCACACCATAATATTAAAAAGTGGTTATTTTTGCAGTTTCCAAAACACTTTTAATTTATGTATGTTTATCAGTCTCACGCTGATCATTGAACTTTTAAGATACTTTCATTTTAATCACCCAACTTTTGAAACATATATTATAATCATTAAATTTTTAATTTATTTTATTATGACCGATTGACTGCTGCTGTTAAAAAAACCCGACATGATATATTAAAGACCTTTTTCCAAAATAATCCGAATATTTTAAATTGACAATCACCGCAAAAGTTAAGTTTTAGATGAACGAAGCAATCTTTGATCAATATTAAAAATAAAAAAGGTTTTGTTTGTCTATAAATTTAACATAGTTTGGTTCCAAACTCATCTATTGGTTAACAATAGCACATCGATAAATTTTAATTTTTAGTTTTGATTGTGATTTTAGGATTTTTGAAGATTTTTTAACGAGTTTGAATCATATTAAAATATATAAAAATATATAGTAATTTGATGAATTTTTAACTAATGAAATCATCAAATGACAACAAAAACGATGAAAGGAGGAGCTAAGATTTCTATATTTTTAGAATATTTTAACATGCCACATCAGTTGTTGTTAAAACTTTAACGATCCAGTAGTTGAAATAAACTATTTTCTTAACAACAATAACTCTAATAAAATTTGTTTGATTTTCGGTGACCGAAGTAAAAGTGTCCTAAATATCCCGTAGTTACTGGTTTAATTTACCCTTATATTTTTATCAATTAAACAATGATGATGCATCGAATATGAAGTATTTATATTTTTTTTATACAAAGGCCCTATCGAAATTATCCAAACTCCACTCACCGATCAAAGAATAATGTGTATTTAAGTATCTTGAATCTATATAAGATATACTATAAAAACAATAATATTAAGTAAATTAAAATTAAATTTATAATATAAATTTATTTAATGGTCTCAATGGTAATTTCTAAATATCGTAAATTTAAATAGTTATATTTATATAGTATGTTATTAATAATTTTAAAAAATTATGTCTTTCAATTATCTAAATTATTGAAAAAAGTTGACATTGTAAATATAATTGATAAAATACAGAGATTGCTAGTAAAGTAAAGAGGTGAAGATACGTGAGATGTGCTGGGTGCAACCGGTGAGGTTGCCGTAGACAGTGACGTCAAGCGGTGAAAGAGGGGTTGGGCAAGTGTCTGGCGTGCACCTAACTCAACACCAACATCTGATTCTTTCCCATTATTTTAACGCACCACGCATTCGTCAGCGTCCAGCTAGGGTTCCCCCCGTTTTGAACTAATTATAAGTTTATAATAACCACTACTATATATTTTATTATAATCTCTTAATTTTATTTTAACTAAATTAAAAAAACAATTGCTTAAATCATGGGGAGTTGCTTCACATGCTAAGATAATAATGATGGGAAGACAAGAAAACTGTATAGTAATGGTCAGAGAATCCCAGTTGAATTTGTTCTCTTACAGGGGCGGGGGTTGTCATGCAGGAACGTGGAGCAACTGTTGTCTCA